ATCCTGCAAATTCTACTCCTGGACAAGAATACTAGCAAAGTCTATGGTATGTCTGACTTCCCACAATTATTGCCCCCCTTGTTCCCTCTTTTTAACTTTGAGATTTATTTTATTACTTTTTTGTTTTAGTGTTGTTATGTATATATAGATATGCATCCTTTATTTTCCTGACTTCCTTGTATTTAGTAGTTAAAAAATATTATTGGCTAAGTCAGTCTGGGGCATAGTAGGGTGGGAGAGAGGGAAGGAAAGAGGCAAGGAGGAAGGGAAAGAAGGAGAGAGGTAGGGAGGGAGAGGGAACTGGTTTTGATATGTAAAATAAGAAAAATTAAAAAAAAAGATTAAGGTACTTGATGATAACCCCCTCAAAAGATCATTAGATTCCCCTCAGACTGGAATTATAAACAAATAAGAGCCATTATATAGTTGCTGGGTATTAAACCTGAGTCTTCCACAACAGCAGTCAGTACTATTAACCTTTGAGCCAACTATCCAACACCCACATCTCATTTCTTAATATGTTTGTTAAAATAAATCCATTAAGTTGTTTATCTTTTGTTTATAATTTGATTAGCTATTCCTTCTTCATTGTACTTCTTTGTCGTGATTTATTCATATCTGTTAAGATGAAATACAACAGGGTTATTTTTGCTTGTTTTCTTTTAACCTTTATATTTACTAGTTTTCTCATTGTTATTAGTTCTGCAAAAATTTTCCAAAAAAATTAGTTTTACTATATCCATGTCTCTTATTGAACTATTCTCCTCTTTGTGCCTCAATTTTTGATTTTGTCTGTCCTTAAACCCCTCAAACACAAATTGTGCTGTTTGGCTACTCATGAATGTGTGGCCTTCCATTGGAACATATATTACCTACTTTGGATCACATTCTTAAATTAGGTAGATTTACTTTATTAGAATTTTATAATGACTTCTCTCTCTCTCTCTCTTTGTTTTTCTTTTCTTTTATCTTCTTTTCTCTTCTGAGACAGGGTTGCTCTGTGTAGCTTTGGAGCCTATTCTGGAACTCACTCTGTAGAACAGTCTGGTCTCAAACTCACAGAGATCTGCCTGCCTCTGCATTTCGAGTGCTGGGACTAAAGCATGGGACACCACTGCCTGGCAGACAATGGCTACTTTTTAAGTGGACAACTAAATTCATTCATGTTTGTTAACATTAGTTCAAAATTGTTTTAAGAGTTTTAAAAATATTTTCAACTTTATGATATTACTCACTTCTTAACTTTTTATTTTTGTAACAAATTGCCTTTCAAATGAATTTATATTTACCAATATTTGAACAAAAGTGCATTGTTCATGTTACATACACTATGTACATATTATTTTATGCCAGTTATATACATTTACACATTGAATTTATATGATATCTGTTGATATTTATTTAATAACAATATATATTTATTCATCAAAATTTAAGCTTCATTCAGTAATCTTAATTGTACCTAATTATTTGGATTCCAATGTTCCATCTATGATTCCTTAGGATAATTAATACCCATAGACTCATCTTGATTTTGATAATCTCTTAGTATTATTTAAAATATTTTTAAAGTACGTAGAGATGACACAAAGGAATAAAGATGGGCTAGAAGAGAAATCACAATATATTACAAAATTCATAGCTGAGATGAATAAATGATACTATTCATAAAGCGCATTAAATCTTCAACATGTTATTTTTATATTCCATTACTTTGTTGTTGCCATTTTTTGTGTTTTGTTTATTGAGGAAAAACAAAAAAAAGCAAGTGACTTCAGTTAGGTAGGAAGGTGGGAAGGACATGATGCCTTGAAGGTGGTCAAGAGTATCTTCCAAATAGATTTCATGAAAGAATATTTAAATGATAATAACATATATCAAGAAATTAGATAAACGAATACTGACTTTTCATTTCTTTTTACTTCCATGTCAATGACTATTTGGTTTGTAAGGCAATGAACTGAAAGTTATTTAGAGTTCCTCAGTTAAAATTTTGAATCCTATAAAGCCTAATTGAAATTTCAAAGTTATTTTGTTAAAATTCCAATATTTCAGAAGTCTATGATTTTCCTAAGCAACTAAGTTGAGAAGTGAGCTATGGTGATGATTCTCAGTTTCGAGTCCAATGCTTTTCAGTAAAGTAGATAATTTCTTAACAAATTTATGAAGGAGATTGACACTGAGAGAGTTAGTATGATTTAAAAAGATAAGAGTATTTCTAAAATAGTCATGTGCTTTTGGGCAAATTTGTGTCTTAGTTATGTGTGAGTTATTTCTTCTTCCACACAAACTCTGTACATTGAAAACACTGTGATTTTTCTGTTCCACAAGCACCTGTGTCTGACCTTAGAAATATGGTTGAGTTGTTCTTTGGTTGCTTTTGATTTGGGTTTTGGTTTAACCTTTTTCTAATTCTGTCTACCTTGATTCAAGTACTTTGTATTTGCTTGTTCACAAATTTAGTTCAAATTGTTTCTTAATAGCCTGGAAGAATGGATTTGACTTCTGACTGTTCCTACTCTATGATGATTATTTACCCTGAACTAATTTTACCTGATTCTCTTTTCTAATTACTCAGCGTGAATGAACACAGTGTGATTTTGTAAGACACAATGAAAATATTTAGAACATTAGGCTATGTTACTCTCAACTGTATAAAAAAGTATCATGTGACAACTTAAAGTTTGAAATTCATAATAACTAAAGAAATTCATTCAAATTTGTCTATTTCAGCTACAGAAATTAGTAGACCAAAAAAATATAATTACTCATTGATTTTTTTTTTGAAAAACCACAACTCAAATCTTTATAGCTCAGAATAACTCGTGTGAAACCTGTTACATTTTATTTGTCAAAAATGAACAGCTTCAGAATAAATCTAATGTAACTTTTCCAAAAAACACCAAAAAGTACAGTGTAAAGCACCTCCTCACTAAATACAAACTTTCATTTTGTGATGCACTGCATCAATGCTTTGCATACACCTTGATGCAAAGGAAAATTTTAAATTGCACCCTGTTTAAATTAAAAAAAAAAAAAAGGCTTCAAAAACTGAACAAAGATGACTACAACCACATTCCAAGAAAGGGAATATATTGTTTTGTTTATATATAACATGTTAGCACTCAAGAGTTTTAACTTAGTTGTATCAAAGGCAAAATTCACTTTGAAAGAAAATTACAGATGCATGAAGAGCAAACATTTACTATACCAAAGACACTGTTTTTCAATGTATTTAGTGTCAACATTTGGGCAATTTTTAAGATTTTCCAAAAACGGAATTACTAATACCTTTGTATAATAACATTTAAAACAACAGGAAACAAAGACTTTTATATTGTATTTTCACAAATTGTCCCAAAGATAGTGTCCATGATCAGTTGTTTTTCCTTTGCTTTAAAATAAGCTACCAGCAAACCACTCTAAAATGTTTTGTTCCTGAACCAAATATAAATATTCATATTGGCAAAAATGTTTTATAATGAGTCCTTGGCCTCAATGAAAAGCATCACAGCTAAGGAGAAACTATAGTTTATTTTCAAATTCTATGATTGGCTTCCAAAAATCCCTTATCAAGTAGAAGTACTGGCAAATAACAGACATTGAGGATCAGATTTAGATCTTTGGTATAAGCATGAAATCGTTGTTGATTTTCCATGACTAGTGTAAGCCATTAAGAAATTCAAAGAGCATCAAAGACAATGGAGTCTACGATGCAATCAAGGCGGGCGGGAAGCATAGTACTTTGTCTCATTTTACAGGAGAAATCAACATCAGAGATACTTAAACACCCACTCCGAGACTTGAAAACATAGCAAAACAAAAGGTCAAGCTTCAAAATGACCACACTTGATAACCTGTAGCTGGAATATGTCACTGCATTTTGGCATTATACTGTAATTCAAATCATACAACTATGTGAGGACTCTCAGCACTATCTTGGCACAGCAGACCTCCAGAGAAAGAGAAAAACCCTTTCTCTCTATAATGCCTGAATTTTGAGTGATACAAGAAACAGTGAGCAGGGTAGTGGTGGTGCACACCTTCAATTCCAGCACTCGGGAGGCAGAGACAGGAAGATCTCTGTTGGGTTCAAGGCTAGCCTAGCCTTCAGAGCGAATTCCAAGACAGGCTCCAAAGCTACAGAGAAACCCTCTCAAAAAACAAAACAAAAACAAAAACAAAAACAAAAACAAAATGAAAGAAACAGAGTGAACGTGTATAGTTAAGTGTAACTTCATTATAATTTTTTTCTTTGTGACAAAGACAAGTATATTTTTGTTGGGGGGGTTGTAAATTATAACTTATTGACCTTTAAAAATTTTTTTTGAATATGAAGCAAAGGACTTTATGTCCAGTAAGTGTACTGTCAAAAATACCTAAGGATTCCATTCATTTTAAAAAGTGAAATTCTTTTAAGAATCTATGGGCACTAGACTTAACACAGCACTAAATCAAGAGTATAACTATAACTCAGGTTTTTATTTTTATTTTTTTTCTGTTTCCAATCTTTCGATTTGCTACTGCTTCTGGTGTCTTCTTCATTTACTAAAGACAAACTGTAAGGGTTTTGTACTGGGCATCTCCTGCAAGGCCCTGCCAGATAATTTCGCAAATAACCATTTCCAGCTCTGACACATTGTAATCTGAGACTAATCCTGAGAGCCATGTTCTTATTAGAAGTTCAATACTAAATGCTTAGAACTCAGGGGGTTTAATCTAACAATAACTGAAAAACAAGACAAGTTCTAAGTATTTCCATAAATCTTAAACGCCAAAACTGAAATTCTCCTACAGTTTAAAAAATATCACTAATGACAAAAAGGCAACTGTATTTGGTACCTCAGCACATTAATGATTAGTGACAGAAACACAGGGGTGTACTCTTATGGACAAAAGTGATAAGATCCTAAATACCACACTCATGAAAAATAATCAATTTCTATCTTTCTGTCTTCCTTCTGCTTCATGCGGAATCTAAGAAGTCAATAAAGAATTGCTTTGTTTGGGCCAACCATGAAATCTTTAAGAACAGATAGGTATATTCCCTGTTATTCTTTCAGGGCATTATTTATACATTAAAAAAAAAACCTTCAAAAATAAAGTTATTTAGGCTTGTGAATATTCTGAAGTAAAGTTTCTTGAACTTCTCTGACGAACTCTTCAAGCAATTCGACTTTTCAAACAGTCATCACTTAAGAGTTCCTTGGCCATAGATCTAGCCCACAGTTACAAAGCGGCTTCCTCCCTTGTTGAATGTGAGAGTGGCTCTTTGTTCTTTCAGTATCCCAAATCGTTCATTCAAAGTCATCGCTGTATGTTTTCCCACACTATTTATGTCAAACTGTAGAGGAACATCTTTAGGAACTTTCTTAACATCAGACTGCTCTCTTTTTGTCAAGAATGAGGGCACAGCAGTACGAGCTAATCGTGGTTTCTGAGGTACAGGACACTGTACTGCTCCAGGGTTGTCAATGGATACAGTCAAAATTCCTCCATTTGTGGTGGAAGTACACCATTGACGAGTTCTCTTTGCTACCATATCATCTAGCAGTTGTTCTGTGTTCAACTGGGCCTGAACCTTCAGGCCTCTTCTGAAAAGAAAAGTTGCCTGACGAGTATCTTTCTGATGACTTAGTTTATTTCCACTCCTGGTAAAGTTAGCTGGAATGTTATTTTTTCTGTTTAACTGGTTAGGTCTCTTGAGGACTGCAACTGGTTTCCTTTGTATTTCATTTTGCCTCAGAAGGCTTGTCTTCCTTTTTAACGCTGGAAAATATCGCTCTATATTCTTGTCACTTAGAGGTGGACGAATCATAGGACTAATTCCTTTTCGAATTCCAGTTGCTTTCCTAGCTGCAAGGCCAGTGATAACTCCATAAAGACGTCTCTTTCCAGGCAATATTCTTCCTCTACGGCTCACACTAGTTTTACCAAAACCAGAATTCTGCTGGATTCCCCACCGTACTCTCATCCTGAATTGCCGGGTACCACTTTGCTGAAGTCTTCTATTTAGTCTTGGAAAATTTTGCTTCTTTCCTTCCTTTCTATTCAGTTTGATAATATCATCCAGGGACATATCGATTTTGTCAAGGTTCTCATTGCTGCGGGCTTTCGGCGGCGGCGGCGGGGTCGCCGTGGCTCCCACCTACCGGGTGCTGAACCGGTTCAGTCAGCCGGGAAGGCCAGAGTTGCAGGCCTGCCGCCTCCCACTCACGCACGCAGACTAGCTCTACTCATTGATTTTTAAGTTACCTTTCCAAAATTTCATGGAGATTATAGTCAAATTTATCATAAACTCAACAATGCAATTAAATCATGTTCACTGAATTGCTGTGTTTTCTTATTTTATTTTATTTTAACTTAGTGTGTTTATACTTTGTTTTGGTTTCTTTTCCTGTTGTGGTAAGCTACCTCAAAAAAAAAATTAGGGGAGCAGTTTTATTTAACTCACAGTTCAAAGTTACTATGTTACAATCCAGCATGGCCTGGCAATCAAGGCATTAGTTATTTAAAGGAGTTTGTCACATTGCATTGCATCCACTGTGAAAAGCAAAGCACAATGGATTAATGAATTCATACGTGTGCTCATCTTCCTTTCTTCTCTTTCAAGTCAGTACTGTGTGTTCCCTTACCAGGGAAATGGCATCACCTACAGAGTCTGGGACTTCTTACCTCAATGGAAATAATAACTCAAAGATAATCTCAAAAGGCCCCATCTAAAGCTCATCTAAATGTTGTCATTGAACATTATCATAGTAGTTAGTATTTTAAAGTTATCATTATTCTGTGTTTGTGATGGATGTGTTGTAGTGCACATATGTAAGTCAGAGGACAACTTGTGGTTTCAGTTCTTTCTGTCCACATTCAGGAGAACTGAGCTGCAGTTCTACTTGTATGGAAAGTGTGTTTATCCACTGAAACATTTCGCTGACACCAACTCATTATATTATATGTTAAAATATAACCTTGTTAAATTAAATGTTTCAGTTTTAGATGAACGCTTGGAGGATGCTGAAAGCATTTATTTGTTATGCTTATGAGATACAACATCTTTCAATCCCAAGATTCACTCACTATGCACATTCTCACAAATGATTTGTTGGCTGGTTTTCAGAATTGTAAGTGTTCAGCAACAATAGAGTAAGATCAAAATTAGATGAGCAAATAAATAGCATGTTAACTTCCTTTTATGTTTTTGAAAATACACTTGTTCAAAATTTTGCATTAATTTACAGCTTCATATAACTTGATCATATTAATATTTCATTCTTAGTGGAATTTACACTCATTTTCTAAGCAGTGGTTTCTAATTTTCTAAGCAGCATTTGATCTTTGCTTTTAAAATTTTTATTCATTATCTGAGATCCTGAGGATATAACCATAGCAGGCAATTACTGAATCAGAGACAGAAATTTCTTAAAGGAAAACTTATTGAGAGACTAAAGAGATATCTCAGCTTTTAGAAGCTGTCTCTGTTCTTCCAAAAGACATGAGTTTGGTTCCTGTACATCAACTGGGTGGCTTATAACAACCTGTAACTTTAGCTCTAGGAGATCCAACATTGTCTTCTGGACCCCAAATGTGGGAACTGACTGACTTACATATCCCATATATAAAGACAAACATGCAGAATATATAATTTTCCTTATAGTGTAATATCCACACTACAAGAAAGAAGTTATACAAACTATAGCAAGTGAACATTAACCAGTGGCTAGAAAAGAAAGAACAGCCATTACCTTAAACCAAGGAGATTCCTGGTAGTCTCCTCTGTCCTCTTGGGAACACATAAAATATTGCCAAAACATCATTACAAATAGTCTGATAACACAGAATAAATAGTTGGAAATCTGTATATTTTATCTACTCGGAATCTTTTAATAGTGTAACCCAAGTTAGATTAATGATAAGTGCAATAAATGGCCCAAGAGATGGCTATAGTTTTATTTTTTTCTGGACATAAAATAAAGTTTAGGCATAAGTTGTGGTGCTAGTAACTTAAACAGAAATCACCTCCTTAAAAAATCCTAATAAAATTAATATTAGTTGTCATTCCTTTGTGAATTATCATAGGAAAATATACGAATGTACATTTTATAGAACTTTTGAAGTTTCACTTTTGAAACTATGAGACACAGAAATACATTTCTGCTTGTACTCTATTGTTTCCCCATAACATATGAAATCAAAAATTAATTGCTAGGGGAATACTTTTCTTTTAAAATTATTGTTCATTCTTGAGAATTTTATAAATGTACACAGTAAATTGTGACTGATCCCCACTCTAGTCACCACCCCAATTCTCCTCAGTTTTTCTCTGAACATTTACCCTTATGAGTTCATCCATTTTTTAAATTTTTTTTGATAAAAGAATAAGTCCAGTTAGTGCTATCCCTTTATGCATGGGTTTGAAACCATCTACTGGAGCATGGGGAGCCTATTGTAAACACCTTCTAGAAAAGACTGCATAAATTTCTTTACAATATAAGCCAAGTAAATACTCCAGATAAAGATTATGACTCAACAGTCTACCAAGAAGGAAGCTTAGCTGAAAGAGTGTTTCAAATAAAATTGATGGTCTGATCATGGTATTATTAAGGAAGAGAAGGATAAAAATAGATACAAGGAGAATCAAGATGGAGGATCTACATGGTAGTATGCCGGGCTCTGTCTCCAGTAAGATCACCTGGAAATACTTAGATTAAAAGAAATGGGTTAATATTTACTACAAAGCTAGCCGATAAGAAACTAGTAACTGGCCTACAGCTTTATATCTAATACAGCATCTTTGTTTGTTATTTGGGGCTGGCATGGCTGTGGGACCAGAGCGGCAGAGAAACCTACTCATACCATAATTGCTCTGCAATGTGGCTAATAAGAACTTCCACTTAAAACTTAAGAAAAGCTTAAGAAAGGGTTTTATAAATAAAAGGACAAAGACAAGCAAGACTTCTTTGTAACAGCATTTTTCTCAGTTTGAATCTGTTTTGCTTGAGACAAGCAGAGATTTGTGCAGCTCCTTTAAGGGAGATTTCCTGATTCAGCACAAGTGGCAAAAACCAAAATTTTTTTAAAGAGTTCTGCTAACAATGTAATGGTGTGTATGAGAGCTGGCAATGGCAGTGACCATGTCTCCAAGCTGGCAACATGCTGCTGGATGGCAGCATAGACCAAAGCAGTGAACACAGCTCTCAGTTCTGGAGGTAAAAGTATCCACCACCATCTTTGATAGACAGTAGCTAATAAAGCTGTGGCTTTCCTTTTAGCAATGTTGTTTACCAGATAAAAGACTAGTGGCCAGAAAAGATAAAAATTTACAGTAAAGACTGATTCAGATTAAGAAAAACCTCTAAAGGCTTACAGTGTGTTTTAAAATATATGTAGGCTTGGGAGACAAAAAGAAACAGGATAAAATGGTTTAAAAAAGAATAATAAAAAGACAAAGTGTAGCTGGGTGTGGTAGCACAAGCCTTTAATTCCAACACTCAGGAGACAGAAGCAAGCAGATCTCTGTTATTTTAAAGTAAACCTGTTATACAGAGATAATTCTAGGGCAGATAAAAGTTACACAAAGAACCCTGTTTCAAAAAAAAAAAAAAAAAAAAAAAAAAAAAAAAAAAAAAAAAAGAAAAAAAAGAAAAAGAAAAAATAGCATTAGAAGAAATAGAGTAATAAAAAAGCCACGTAAAGATGGAAAGCACAGAGAGAATCTAGATACTGTATGGTATTATATTGTCTTTGTATTGTTTGACTGTTGAGGAAATAACAATTGTTAAAAGAAATACTGCTGGATTAATTCAATTTATATATTTTAAAAATGCATTGACTTAAAAATTTAAGTCTAGGGACAGGTTACACAAAAATCAACAACATAGACAAACCATTATTCAAACTAACTAAGCAGCAGAGAAATAGCATGTAAATTAACAAATGCAGAAATGAAAAGGGGGACATAACAATGGACACAGCGAAAATCCAAACAATTTTCATGTCCTCTTTGAAAACCTGTACTCCATAAAATTTGAAAATTCAAAGGAAATGAAATAATTTCTGGATAACTATCATTTATCAAAATAAAATCAAGAACAGACAAACAACTTAAATAGACATATAACCCCTCACAAAATAGAAGCAGTAATCAAAAGCCTTCCAACTAAAAAATGCCCTGGGTCAGATGGCTTCAGTGCAGAATTCTACCAGAAATTCAAGAAAAAGTTAATACCAATACACCTCAAATTGTTCCATACAATAGAAACAGAAGGTTCATTTCCAATTTTTTTTTATGAGACCACAATCACTTTGATATCCAAGCCACACAAAGATACAAATAAGAATGAAAACTATAGACCAATATCCCTGATGAACATTCATGTAAAAATACTCAATAAAATACTAGCAAACTGAATCCAAGAATACATTAGTGAATCATCTACCATGACCAAGTACACTTCATCCTGGGTTGCAGGGATGGTTTAACATACAAAAATCAATCAATGTGATCCACCATATTAAACTGAAAATGAAAAACCATATGGTCATCTCCCTAGATGCTGAAAAAGCCTTCGACTAAATTCAACACCCTTTCATGAAATATGTTTTGGAGAGATCAGGGATAACAGGAACATACCTAAACATAGTAAAAGCAATATACAGTAAATCAGTAGCCAATATCAAACGGAATGCATAGAAGGCTAAGACAATTCCTGTTAAATAAGGAATGAGAAAAGGCTGCCTTCTTTCTCAATATATCTTGAACATTGTTCTTCAAGTTGTAGCTAAGTCAATAAGACAAAAAAAAAAAAAAAAAAAAAAGATCAAGGGGATCCAAATTGGAAAGGAAGAATTCAAACTGTCTCTATTAGCAGATGATATAATAGTTTACATAACTTACACAAAACCTCCACCAGGGAACTGCTACAGTTGATAAACACCATCAGCCAACTAGCAGGATACAAGATCAACTCAAAAAGATCAGTAGCCCTACTTTATTCAGACAACAAAGGGGCTGAGAAAGAAATCAAAGAAATATCACCCTTTACAATAGCAACAAACAACTTTATGTGGAAAAACAAAAGACCCAGGATAGCGCAACCAAACCTGTTCAACAAAAGAACTCCAGGAGACATCACCATCCATGACTTAAGCCCTACTACAGAACTATA